TGCAGCGCTTTGTGACTACCTGTCTATGAAAAGCGCTTAATAAATAAACTTTACTTACTTACTTACTACTACTACTTACCAGCAATAATCCCCAAAAACGAATTAAAACAAGAGAAAAGCCCATCCTGGGTTTTTTCTTTTCAACACAATGGCAGCATTATTTTCTGAAAGAGACTCCCAGTAGCTGAATATGAGACTAATTCACTACAGTGGCTAGTGTCAAATCAATAAAGGACATTATATCGCAATTGAGTCGCAGCACGCCATCTGCACCATCATTTTTATCTTAAAATCTTACTGTGACTCACTGAGAGCACAAGCAGAGGAAGAGACTGAAGCAAACAGACTCTCTCTTGTTGGCATTTGTGTGAATCTTTTTCTTTTCTTTGAAATGGCAGCAGTAGATGGCTGAATAGTGACTTCAGCTGAAGTCATTCATTGTTTTCTTTTCTTTGTAAAGCAATCATAGTCTGCTTATCAAACATACAGGAGGAGGTTGGGTAAAAAAAAACAATTTGGTGGAGAGCAAAGAGGAGGAGACAGACGGAGAGAGGGAGCGAGAGAGTCAAATGCCTGGGTGAAAGGGAGGGAGGGAGAGCCAGGATAGCAAGGGTGAAAGGACAACCAGTCAGCACTTACACTGTACAGTCTTGTCATACACCCCCCACCAAACCCCACCCTCATCCTGTTAGGTGGGTGAATGAGTGAGTGAGTGTGTGAGCAAGTGAGTGAGACAGCGAACGATAGAGTGCGATAAAGCCAAGTGTAAGTCCTGGCAACCTGATTTTTAGCATCCAGCAGGAGGGTTGGCCTTCAGTGTGACACATAGCATGACTCTGTGTGTGTGTGTGTGTGTGTGTGGCACAGTGAGAGAGGGGGAGGGAGGGAGGATGGAGAGAGTGTAATTGAGCTTTGCGGTAAAACCGATGACCTAAAGCAAAGCAATGCTGGAGAAAGAACAAAAGGATAAAGAACATACTTTGTTCCACTGTAGATGATCAGTAACCCAAGTGGAATGATAATGATGACGTATAAACATGTTTCAAATCAAACACTGCAATATGTTTGTTATTAAACTATTCAAGCTTAATAATATCTTTGCTGTGGCACTCCAACTTGTGGTCAGTTGAAATTGTGCTATATCCTGTTTCCTGTTTTACTTTGTTTGTGCTTGAAACACGTCCGAAACATTATCGTGTCCACCTGGCAAAATGACTCACTGGGCATAATTTAAAAAAAGCAGAAACCTTTGTACTCAGCTCACAGGTTACACTTTAGATCAGGACATCAACAGAAATAAAATAAAAAGAGAGAGAAACCGTGAAATCTCATTAGACCTTTACAAATGGGTTTTTAAAGCATAGATCAATGCAAAAGATTAGAGTATTCACAGACTGTATGTAAGAGATATCCAACTATTATGGCGGTTCGATATAATACTCCTTGTAGCATGATGGTGCATTGTCTTGCATGAAGATGGTTTTGTTGCAGAAGGCACAGTTCTGTTCTTTCTACCATGGATGAAAGTGGTCAGTCAGAAACTCCACATACTTTGCAGAGGTCACTGTCACACCTTCAGGGA